TTCACAACTGATTAATAGCATTTTCTCTTGGAATACACTGAAGCCTGTTCACAATGTGCTTTTTGTTTCCTGTTTCTTTTTGCCTTTTGTTATTTTTTACATCTTGTCTTTTTGCTTCTTGTCCGGTTTTTTGTTTTATATCGCCCGAGATGAAAATTAACGAACTTCGAAAGAAACAAGAAATACGTAGCAAAAAATACAATTGTTAATAAAACTGTTGCAAAGGAGGAAAAAGTAAAACAAGAAACAGAGAGCATATTATGGAATAGGCTTGAATATAATTTCGCACTACACCAATAATATATATATATATTGGGTCATCTAAAAAATATCCGCGGTTTTTTGTCACTAGATGTGTGTTGATGGATATATCTAGTGACAAAGTACCGCGGATACTTTTTCCAGCACACAAAACTTGTGTGATGGAATAGAGCTAATTGGTTGCTTCAATTCAATTGGTTAATTCGAATGTTTAAATATGTACCAAAAATCTGGAAATGGTCTAATATCTCGGAAAGTATGCATTTTTGAGAAAACTCTTAGACAAAAATGGTAGGATTTAATAGAAGATGTATTTATTGGTTTTATTGGTTTAACCTTGAGTGACATCGCCAAGATCAAGTAAAGGTTGACAATACTTCCCAAGGTCAAACCAATAAAGTAAATACATCTTATTAAATCTTATCTACCATTTTTGTTTAAGACATTTTTCTCAAAAATGTATATTTTCCGAAATACTAGACTGTTTTCAGATTTTTTAAATGCTCATTGCTCGGCTTCTAAACGGGAACGGCTTTACAGATGTTCACATCTACATTTGGTAGACTCTTCTAATATTGCTGCAAGTTCGATCAAAATTAGGGAAGAGCAGAGCGAAGTCTCTCCTTGTTAGTCCTTATCTCTTTCGAATTCTAGGATTGCAAAAGATGAGAAATAAGTTGCACCGCGGTTAGTTAAGAGTTAACCATAAGTTGTGAAACTAGGCCTCACTATTATGATATCGCCTACACCTTCAATCAAATTATGATTAACTTAATCTAAGATTAGCGATATCCGTATTATTTCGTTAGAATACACTTCGCGTGAATAGAATTAATAGTTACATTTTGTTCACCAGATAAAAAAACGAAGGATATTGTACTTACATACAGCTAGAAATTTCCCGGGCAATCACCCGCGGGCGATGACTTAACCTAACCTAACTTCTCCGCGTGACGTCAATCACAACGCCAGTGTCGCCAAGTTTCAGCAGTTTGGTTCCCAGGGTACAAAAATCATGTCCGACTTTTGCAATATGTCCACGTAGGATCCGATCCTCCCGTCCCGGAAGAAAGAACCATTCGATATAATGACTTCGTAGTCTCGAGGTGAACGTCTTTGTCAATTATCGCGTAATGATCGTAACGATACCGCGGCATTCCGAAATTCAGGGCTGTTGGAATGCCGTGATGAATTTCCCACGTTTCAATCATTGCCCCGTTTACTTTCTCGCACATCGAAGCTAACGATCATAGCCGCGAGGTACACTATACATGTCACACAGCATGAAATATTTATGTGAATTATTTTTTGAAATACTTAGAAATATTTTGTATACATTTATAAAATATTTTAAAATGTCACATTAAAGTATTTCACAAAAATATTTTAGAAATGTTATACAAACATTGTAAGGAAAAGAATATTTCAAAACTTCCTGGTTGTATTTATATTTTTAAAGATATTTTATGAAAAATTTCTGAAGTATTTCAAATCTTGCAGTGAAATATTTCTGAACATTTCATTAAGACATTTCATGTTGAACTTGAACTTGAATTTTCAGAATATTCCTTAATTTTCTATCTTGCCTAACGTCTCAATTATTTTTGCTTATCTCACATGTTGAACTGTAGACACAAAGAAATTGTTAGACTTCAAATATTCTGTTTCAATGCATCTGTTTTTTATTCCTGTATTACTGAATTTTTATGTTTTACTTTTGCCAAATATCGAACATATATTTGTTTTATTTTAAGTTCTATAAATGTACTGATCCAGTTTTAGAAGACTGACCTACATAACTTAGATTGATTAACTATTGTTAACATAACTGTAATCCTCAGCCTTTGACGACTAACTGATGTGACCATGGCCAGTCCAAGAACGCGACGAGTGCTGAGTGAATTAAAGCCGAAGGACGAAAACAATGTAAGCTTGATTGAGAGCAAGATCAGAAATATATCAAGTGCTTTCTCTCTTTTTTTTTACAAAGATTAGATATTAGATACTTAGTATTTTTAAGATAAATTTCAGTCAAATGTTTAATTAAAGCAAATTTTTTAATTTAAATTTCGACTTCTATATTTTAGGTAAATGTAATTTTTGTTCTTTAGCTCAGCACTTTGCGTAGAATTGAGATATCACTCATTTGTTATAACACCATAACTCAAAGAACAAAGTTTTCTAGAAAATAAATATTTCAATGTTTTGAGTTGATATGTAGTATATTTATTTTTATTAATATGTACCTATTAAGAAAATGAAGTTAATTAGTAGCTCCTTACAACTGACTTCTTTATGATTGTCAGATTTATATATACTCTTGTGCATTTTGTAGAAATGTTTCGAATGTGGCAGCCATAATCCGCAATGGGTATCCGTGACGTATGGCATTTGGATATGCCTAGAATGCTCAGGCAAGCATCGTGGTTTAGGTGTACACTTATCGTTTGTCCGCTCTGTCTCTATGGACAAGTGGAAGGATGTAGAACTGGAAAAGATGAAGGTCGGTGGCAATAGAAACGCCCGAGAGTTCTTTGAGAATCAATCCGATTGGGATGAATCTATGTCCATCTCACAGCGTTATAATACAAAGGCGGCGGCATTGTACAGGGATAAGGTAAAGAGATTTATCGTACACTTTTATATCATTGAGTTCCTTTAGAGTTACTTCATTCGCTTAAAAATATTTTTTCTTTGCTTAGATCGCTACATTGGCGAGAGGAGAGCCTTGGAGTCCAAGCAGTTCAACAATGAAGGAGTTTCATCCTTCGACATTCATTAAAAATAAGCAAGAATATTCGTATCAGAACGACCTGTCCTCTTCTTATCAAAATATGGACTCGAATAATCTGAAGATACAGACGGAATCCTTCTTTGCAAAGAAACAGAATGAAAATGCCAATCGTCCAGAGTAAGTCTGTAGTCTGGCTTTTATTTTCTATATCAGGTATTATGATACAATATTTAATATATTATAGAACAATTAAGAGTACAAATAAATGGGAAATATAAAGATTTGAAAAACAAAAGAATGAATAAGTTTAAATATTTGAAGAGTTTATGAGAACCGAAAAATGTGATAGCATTGTAAGAATGGAAGTGTGCATTAAGAGGGAGGAGAAGTTAGGAGAAGTAATTATAATATTATCATTTTAGTAATATCCCACCTAATCAAGGAGGTAAATATGGTGGCTTCGGTTATCAGATGGATCCACCACCCAAGAGTTCGTCTCAGGAATTATTCGACACCGCAGTATCATCATTAGCGAGTGTATGATTTTTAACGTTCACTAAATGTCTGTAATTTAAAATTAACGAATTAATTTTATTTCTTACTATTGTAGGGATGGTCAATATTCTCTTCCTCGGCGTCAAAAATAGCAAGCAAAGCTACCGAGAATGCAATCAAAATCGGAGGACTTGCGACGCAAAAGGCAAGTGTACAAATTTCGAAAAAGGTTCTCGAGAGTGTAAACTAATTAAGGATTAAAAATTAATTATTTTTTTTAAACGAGATTGAAGAACAGGATTAAAGCATTATTGTTCATTTATTTTTACCCATTCATTTATTTTCGATTGTTAGAATTGCCATGGATAAATTTATTTGAGTGTATAAACGCGAGATATATTAATTATCGTTATTATTTTTGTACATTTATTTTAATTAATTTCTCTATCAAATTTATAATTCTTATTTTGAAAACATTTTTATTTCGTTTTTCTCTGTATTAAATTATTAGGTTCGTGATGGCACATTATTAGAGGACGTAGGAGCTCAGGTCAATCATTTGGTTACAAAGGTATAAATTTTTTCGTTTGCTTTTTCTGTTCTATTACTCATTTTTTAATTGTCGTTAAAATTAAATTATTAGAAATTATTGTCATGTCATATATATATATATATATATATAGATGTCTTATTAAGAGTCAAGAAATTTAAAAAAAAATAATATGCACAGGTTGGGGATATAACGAGACGGGGAGGATGGGGTGATATTGCTGGGACCAATTCAGCGGAACAACAAAGGCAATATGATTCCACAGATCGATATCAGTATTCCTCTGATACGTATCAGAATAATGATTTAATATCAAATCGCTCCAACGAAAAATCATTTCTTGTAAGAAGCTCCAGTTCAAAGTATGTATCTTCTAAGCTTCTACATATAAAATAAACTTTTATTAAATTATTAATAGATTATTATTTATTTAATAAATTATTAAGTCTGTATAAGTAAAATACAATCGATTTATTCAAAATTTATTCTTTGCTTATTTCAGAAGCAACATTTCCGCTGGAGATTCTTCCAACACCTCGAATTGCGATTGGGATTGGGACAACGATACGAAACAAACGAGCAAGACGGTAACTTCAAAGAGACAACCAAAGGCGGAGAGAAAAGAAGAATCATTGATCAATTTCGAAACGGACAATAAGGCACAACAGAATTGGAACTCGAAAGCGGAAGACGACGCCTGGGAAATATTAAATAATTAACCCTGATATCATTAGCGCGAATTAGGAAATGAGGATATCGGTATATGTTAATTTTAAAGATTATTAAACAGAATTAAAGGACAGATACATGCATTTATATGAGATGTGTTTCTTATGAAGTGACCTATTTTCCTTGTAAAATAGGATATAATTTTGTTCAATAATTCATAATATAATAAATAAGTAATAAATCATAATTATTATTAACATATTAACTGTACAATATAAAACAATAATTATATAAATATAAAATCGTAATCTATTTCCAAGTCTTACAATTCTTTCCAGGATTTCGAATATTCAAACTCCAAAAAAAAAATTAAAAAATTTGAAGAATTCAAGATTATAAATCTACAATTTCTATCATTTTACTAGATCTTTTTTAATTAATTAATTAAGACGAACAGTTTCTGCTATTTTCTTTTATCCGGCATTCCTTTTTTTTATTGTTTAGCCATATCACTATAAAAATTAATCCTCAGATACCCAAGAGTTTAAAAACGTCATAACGTCGTAAATGCGAAGTCATTTAAAGATTTTTCGATTGCGTTATTGTTGTACACACTGTGTATTATAAAATAATTACAAAAACAATAAAATTTTATTTTAAAAAATGCATAAAAGTTTCATTCTATAATGAAAACACATTCGATAATACAATTATTAAACACAGATGAACAAAACGCAGTTTATACCATTGTATAAATAAATTAAATAATTAAGTGTATGAAAAAAATTATAAAATTCAGTTTGAAGTCTAATCATAAAGGCATACCATCTAAGGATTAATATAAATAAAAGAAACTAACTTTTTTCGTGTATATGTTCTTCTAATTGGCGATCTACTGTAAATATGTATTTTACTTAGATATCTCAGAAGATCCGGTTGTGTGTTTGGCCATATCTCGTCTATTATTTCTGATAATAGTTTGTGTAATACGATCGTGGAATTATATGAAAGTTGTGGTACTGGTTGATTCGTCGTCATTTTATAAAGAAACTGGTACACTTCACTGAAAATTATACATCAATTATCGTCAATTATTCAGTAATTTTATGGATTCAAAAACTGAAGTATTTGATTATATATATATATATATTATTTTAAATATATACGGAGTACTCTACAGTAGATGAAACAAAAGGATTGATTCTAGATGATTAAAAAAAATAAGGTGAAAATTGAGAATAATAAAATTGCGAATTCGTCTTCATTTTTTAATCATAAATGTTTAAATATTCAAATACATGTAAAAAGTATCAAACACATATTTAGGCATTTACAAAATCTCTGCCGAAATTTTGTTATTCTTGATTTTGTAATATTCTGAATGTTTAAATATTCACATAAAAGTGCCTATAATGTAAATGTTTAAATATTTATAATTAAAAAACGGAGTCAAATTTGCGCGCATAATTTTGATATTCTTGAATTTCATCTTATTTTAATATTTAGACTTGCATACTTCTTAAATTTTGTCCTATCCGTGTTGCTAAATATTTTGTGTATATATTGGATCATCTAAAAAGTATCCGCGGTTTTTTGTCACTAGATGTGTCATATATCTAGTGACAAAGTACCGCGGATACTTTTTAGATGACCCAATATATATATATATTCATTCAGTATCAATAGATTCATATATTAGCAGAATAATCGAACTAATAAAATTGTAATAAATTGTAATAAATGTGTAAATAACAGAAGATATTTTTGATCCTAGAAGGTCATCGAGCGATACAACATTAATAAGTAAATTTTACATACAAAGAAACAAACCACTCTTAATTAATGTAATACAAAACTTTTACACTTTTTATAATAAAATAGTATTAACATAAAATTTATATATACAGTACAAAACATTTCAAAATAAAAAGAAGGGTTGATGCTTTCTACATCATACCTAAAGTCACATTCTGTCTCCATCTGAGGTAATGAATGTTGCTCATACAATGCGATGAATAACAATGCCATAGGTACATTAAAGTTGGATTCCTCAAATAAATTACTACGTAACCAACCAACTATCGAAGGTTTGTTCTTAAGGAAAGTCTCTGTCAATTCGAGCGCTGAATCCAGTTTAGATTGACGTTCGTCTATAGATGTGCCCAAAATGCTATTAAAAGGAAGATTCTGTCCGTGTTTAAAGAGATCATTCAATACTGTAATGGCGTTCTCTTTGCTACCAAAAGGAAGATTGTCTTCTTTCTTTTTACTGTTGTCATTACTTTTATTATTGTCATCTTCATTTTTCTCCATTTTAATGGTTGTTCCGCTAATAAACGATTTCTGACACACTACAGAAATACAAAAGCATACTTTGAAATTAACATGAGACTAGATTGATCTTAAAGAGAACTACCTTGAAAAAAAATGTATCAACAAAAATTCTCATATCAATCAGAATTCTGGTTATCAATATAGAATTTCTGGTTATCTCAACAAAAATGTTTGGATTACTATAAGTATCTGGATCTATATCTTTCTGATTGAATTTGAGAATTCTAATCAATACAATAAGACTTCCCAGTGCATAAATGCCAAGACTAGGTTAAGATTCTTTCCACGAGTTTTTCCTCAAATTTGCAACATACTTTTTAAAAGACAAATGCATTAAAATATGTATATATGTTTAGCTTTATCTGTTAATTATCGTGCAATTGATGTGCTGTCACAACCATAATTATAAGGTTTTTTCAATAACAAGTACCTTATTCCGTCCACAAATTGTTGTCACATAGTAAAGTTGGCAGCAACTTGTTTTTGTGTTTTAATAGCCTTGGTCCTCGTTGGCGAGGTAAACTTAGCCAGTCGCTTCTCAGACTCCTTCGCAGGAATCAAACCGAAGAGATAGAAAGAACTAGAATCAGAAAGAGCGTCAACCCCTCTTCCCCCCCCCCTCCCGCAACTCGGCAAAGAACCCCACACACATCCAGGGCAAATCGAACCGAGCCGAGCCACTCCCGGTCAAGCCAGTTGACAGCAACTGACGGCAGTCGGCCATTCCGGACAATTGGTTTTGGTAAAAAATGATAAAAATCATACAGTAGCTAATCGTTCGTTTTATGTTTAAAGGTTGGCTGCCATGTGACATATAATTATTATTATTATTCCCCCAGGTCTATTTGTGTGCGCCGCACGAAGAAGCCAATGTTGCGTTTACTTATGTTTTTACATCGCGGTTTTTGCACATTTCTGCAAACTTCAGCCTTCAGCTTCTGGGAACGAGACGATCCCTTTTTTTCAACGGATGTTTGTGACCTCCTGTCATAAAACTGTCCAACCTCGACGAGTGAGTAAGACAAAGAATGTCTTGTTTAAATAGGTAAACGGTTTTTATTGTAAGAAATACCTGAGAGAAATTAATCTCCGATCACGTTAGAAGTTTTTCTTCATCTATCCAATTGTAAGGAAGCTTTGTTAGTAGATATTCGTTTTCTCTCAGAATTATAAAATAGCTTGTCTCAAATGGCGTGTCTCGTTTTTGACATCAATCCTTGCATAGTTGCAATTCGGACAAAGAAAAAGAGCAGAGCTGATACTAATAATTGAGATTCCCTGTGAAAATATATTCTTAAATTTGACAATCTAAAAAAGTTATATATAATATAAACTTTTTAAATCGTTAAATAATAGGAACATTTGTAATACTAATAATTAGTGTAACTATTTCATTAAGGATATATTCTTAATAAATTTAGATATAATATACATAAATTCTGTAAACTGTTAAATATTAAATTGTTAATATTTAATAATTTCAATATTAAATATAAAAATTATTAAATATTATATATATTTTTAATATAATTATTATATTAAGGATATATTGTAAATTAATGATTATGTAAATTATATTATATTAAATATACACAATTTAGCAAATTAATAGTTATTTATATTTAAAAAAACTTCTGAGCACAATCAAATTTATTTATTATTCCAAAAATGATAACAAGTCAGAGAAATGTTTATTGTAACATGAATATGCTTTGCTTGTTTCTAGAAAGGACCGGAAGCGAGTCAGCATGCCGGAGCCTGTGAATCACCAGGTGAACGCCGCTCGTAAGACGTTCCAGACTCTCTACCAGATCTCTAAGCTGCTGAACACGAATCTTGATCCGACCACTTTGAGTATCTGTATTAGGCTGTGTGAAAACGGAGTAAATCCACATGCCCTTGCGACGGTGGTAAAGGAACTTCAACGAGAAGTCAAGGCGATGAACGACGGACAACTGGAGTCTTCCGCCAGCAAAACTAGCACAGCCAAGTGAACGCGAACAAGTATGACACTATTGTTGCCCTCCCACACTCTCTACAGAATTTATCTTGCGTTAAAAAAATATATGTTCTTGAATGTAGATAATATGTATGATATTTTATTTATTATATGAATAAACTAATAAACATGCGGTATAAACTTAACGCTTGATAGAAATAATTTGGTTTCTCTAAACAAAGTAGAAAAAAATATTTCTCGAAAATATACTTTTTGTACAAAAATAGACAAATGGAAAACATTTCAAAAATTAATCGCAAGATTACAATTCTTTTTTCGATTTCTTGGCACTTGGCTTTTTCATCGACTCGTCAATTATAATGCTTTCTCCCTGGAAAGAGACAAATGTTTCTTTTATATCTCACACGAGAAAGTTTACAAACACCCGAAGATTTCGTCAATATCATTACCTCCTTTAGTGATGGATAATATGATTGTCCATCGATCGTGACATGAGCCACTTCAGGATGCTGTAGTAAATAATTTTTACCCTCAACAGCTTGAGCTCCATCATGGAACATGAATATGAAACGTTTATTTTCAATTGGATATCTGCACAGCAAACATTTCAAATATTTTAACTAATCTTCTATTTTGGAATACTTTTAAAGTGCCTGAGCATATCTTGGGTGCAACAATGCTGTACCTTTCCATAATGATATGATTATTTTGTAGGCCAGTTTGCCAGATACGAGTCATGACATCTGCTTGCTCCTCTGAAATATTTGACTGAAGATCTACGAACATCATAACGCCTTTTCCTTTTTTCGTTGCTTTTAGCATACTCTCTGGGTTTTTTATGTCTAGCTGCAATGGATAATTAAAAATAAATGAATTTGTATATATGCATATCCTTTGTCAACAACATGAATTTTAACTTTTCATCAGCAATAGAGGTCTTTGAAAAATAGAACAAATTTATTGTACCAATTTTTAAAATAAGAAAAAATTCTTACATATTTGTCAAAACTTTAACAATGAGCTTTTCTGATGATAGAAGTTGGATTGTATTTTAGTTAATTTTTACAGATTTAAATTTAACAAAATTTACAGTAAAAAAATCAACAATGCTTTTAAAGTTACATTCCAGTAAAGGATTAAACAATGGTTTCAGATTTTCATGTAAAATGATATATTACCTTAGATATATCTAGCTTTGGAGCAGGTCGCAAATGTTCCGGCAACTCATCTGGCTCCAGAGGTTCATCGTTTGCCTAAGATATCACATTAATCAAAAAATTCGCTCGCGTTGCTTTCGTCTTATTGATATAACAGTCACACAAAGATAAAGAACGAATTTTATTTTATCTGAGAATACAATATAATGGCCATACTTCCCACTGTTCCAGCAAACGCTCTGCATCAGCGTCCGTCATGAACATCATGTCCTTGTCTTTCCATGATTTCTTTTTTCGCTCTTTAGTATCCGACGTGGACATCACCATAACAAAGAGCATAAATAAGCCCAGGACAATAAGTCTCGATTTCATTTTGCAAATAATGGAAAATCACGTCTTTAGGAATGATTTGTAATGTGATGCGCTACAAACATCACAGGCGTGTTTCTGAAAATTCGAAAGAGAGCCCTCTATTCAAATTAAATTAGCATTTTCCCTTTAATTCGAACTTTCGTTTAACAATCAAAAATCAACTAAACATTCTGTGACATTGGAATGCCACAGAATCAATCATGTTACATCAATTATAGCAAGTATTAAGGTTATGCCTATTCCGACGTTCTTCAAAATGCAATATAAGAAGAGTTTAGCTAAACACTAAAATTCGAGCAATTTGAATTTAACAACACATAAAAAATATAACAAACACAAGTAAAAACGTCGATCTATTACCTTCAGTCGCAATTCTACGATACATCAGCTACGTTCAGCAGAGAAAGCAGCTTTGCAACTGTTGTAAAATTCTTTAATATGATCGGTCTTGCCCTTAGTTCTTCTTGGATCTAAATGTATAAACCAATCATATTCAAGAATTTTCTCTGCTATCTTCATATTGCCACAGGACGCACAACGTAGCACTTCGTACCAACTATATAAATATAGAGAAAAATAAAAAATAACCAGATTTTGAAATAGGGATTTTATTTCCAGTTTAGAAATTTGGGTGCAGATCACTGCAAATTCTTTGGCACGTTCTTTGATTGGTCATTTCGTAAAATTCTTTCTTCTGATTGGTCAAGCATGCGATGCAAACAAACTTTATAAGTGCGATCTAAATGTATAAATCATATTTAAGGATTTTACAATTACAAAAGATCTGTTCGCATTGCTTGCACTTTTTGCACTCGACATCTTCGCTTTCTTTCTTTCAAAGTCAAATATATATCTATCTCATTTTAAATGCAAAAATATTTTGGGGTTTTATGCAATGACCTAAAGTTGCTTTCTCTGCTGTGAGTGCAGTTAATCAACTCTCTGGCAACGCTGCATCAAAGGTCGATTGTTTCACCTTTTGTAAATTTTATCTGTTAAGTAAATCTAGCAATCGCATGTAATTGGGTAATCTTGTTATTTACCTAACAGGTAAAATTTATCTACCAAAAAAGGTGGAACAACAGGTCTGTAAGCACGTTCTGAATACGGGCCTAAGGGTGAAATCACACGGTACGGAAAATGACTGCGGAATAGAGAATGCATCATAGAAGCAACCAATCGGCGTTCTTCTGCGTTATTTCGAATAGCGCTAATTGATTGTTTCAATGATGTGATTTCACCCTAATGGCTTCTGCACACTGGCCGCGGAAATGCTTGCTGCGCGGCAAAATGTGATGCGGTAGCCAATAAGCTTACAGCTTCTAATGTGTTCATTGGCTACCGCGTCTCATTTTGTCGCACGGCAAGCATTTCTGCGTCCAGTGTGCAGGAGCCATAAGTTTCGAGATACACTATCGACCCCCAGCCTATTAGCAAATTTGTTCAAAAATAATTATTGGACAAGAAAAATGAAGTTGCGAACGTGACAGGCGTAAACAATATCGCCTTGCTGGTTGGCTGTCAGTCCTGTACTGCCTGCAGTCGATGACGGTGGCGAATTGCGGCGAACTATATTCTGTATGCAGTATACGAGGACTTCAAGTCCAGGTCCAGGCGGTCCAAGTTAAACTTCAGACTTTAAAGTCCCATTGTGCTCTGTGCCATGCGATGTTATGTCGTTTGTTGTCGCAAGCCTGGTGAATGTTGAATGCCGATGCGACGCACTTCTCTCAAAAGGGAAAAACAAAAGCGTCCGTTGTGCGCGTATTTATGTACACGAGCAAGTATGCATTCCGGCTATCCCGCCTTATCTCCTCGTCCTGACTCGCGATCGCAAGACTAGTATAACCTCCAAGCGGTACGGTTTACGCAACTCACTTAGGACTACAATGTATCTTTCTTGGGGAACGATGATTGCGGTTCTGTGAATTTACTTATTTAGAACGAGAAACAATAAATACAAATGTAAACAAATTGTTCTCCTCAATAATAATGACGTTATTTACCAGTGAAAGCTGTCAGTAATTAGGATTTTAATGACGCTAATTTACGCATTAGCAAATTTCACTTGTAGAAATATTATATACTACCATCATATAT